TTACGGGTCACGGAATTATGAGTTCAACTAAGGTTACACAGTAATTTCACTAATCTGATTTTATATATTAAAAACAAATATAAATATATAATTTATATGAAAAATTTTAAAAATCAAACTATTAGAAGGTAAAAGAGAGTAAAGAGAAAATATTGATTTCATTGATTGTGGTGAATTGATTTGTACAATGAGTGAGCTCTTATATAGAAGAGCATAACAGAAAAGAGAGATCTAGAATATCATTAAAATACTAAACTACCCTTATACCTAATATCTAATACTCCCCCTCAAGATGGAGAGTGAACAAAGAGAACTTCCATCTTGAACAAGAAAAATCAAGAAAACATAAAAACCAAATAACATGATCATCAGCTAATAAGGAGACAGTGCTGGAATGGACATCAGCTATAATGTGCTGGAATGGACATCAGCTATAACGTGTTGGAATGGACATCAGCAAAGGAAGGAAGGGCTGGGATGGACATCAGCAACCTAATATGAACTGTCGGGGTGGACATCGGCAAAATCAACTGTTCTGAAATAAACTTCAGCAACATGAACAATGCTCCCCCTGAATAGGAAGCCAAAATAAAGCCAAACAATGGCAAAACCAAATAACAGCCAACGACAGAACATCAGAAAAATAAAAAATAAAAGAAAATTACAGAATAAAAAAGCCATGAATAAAATTCATCAAAAGCTACAATGATGTATTGCAATAAAATGCACAAGCTCCATGAATCGTCAGAAACCTGCAAAATGAGAAGAAAAAGAGAAAAGAAAAAAAAATAGAAAGATCTGGAAATGAAAATACATCAGAGACACAGATTGACAAAAGGTGGAAGACGACTAATAAGGGAGAGAGAAAAAAAAATGGCATGGAAAAGGAAAGAAAAAAAATAAAAAAAATAAAAAAATAAAAATTTGCAGATCAGAAAAGACCAGAGAAGAAAAAAATAGTGAGATAGAGTGAGAAAAACAAATTATAGATCTGAGAAAAATCCAACTCGAACAAGGACCCGAATGGTGAACCATGCGAGCAGATCCAAGCGATCGACGATGAGACGGTAACTCTGACAAGGGCAAACGGAGACCTTTAGGCTGAAGGGTGCTAAGTGGAGGAGGAGGAAGCACAAACGGAGACCTCCATACTGAGACGCGAAGACGAACGGAGATGTGAACCAGATCCGGTTCCGACGAACCCGAACAACTTGCTACAGGAACTCGAACGGCAGCACGGTGGTCCAAAAAATAGAGTCGAAGGACAGCAAGATGGTGACTTGCTCGCGAACCAAAAATAGATGAAGAAAAAAAACCTCTAATCCCATTGTGACGAAGGAAACAGAAAGAGGGAAAAGTGAATGAATGAAGCTGAAAAATGAGATCAAACAAAAAAAGAGTAGAAAGAGACGAACAACTCTGATGATAAAATAAAATAAAATTCACAGATCTGGAAGAAAGGGAGAGAAAAGATATAGATCTCGGAACAGATCTGGAAAAATAAAAGACTCAGAAAGATCGATGAAGAGAAAACTAAAAAAAAAAAATGATGGCAGCGGAACCTCCATTCAAGGAGGATGAAAATGCTTTGATACCATATTAGAAGGTAAAAGAGAGTAAAGAGAAAATATTGATTTCATTGATTGTGGTGAATTGATTTGTACAATGAGTGAGCTCTTATATAGAAGAGCATAACAGAAAAGAGAGATCTAGAATATCATTAAAATACTAAACTACCCTTATACCTAATATCTAATACAAACCACAAATCATTAAAAAATTTAAAATATATTTAACATAATTCAATTAATTAATCTATAAGTCAATATTTCAAATGCTAATTAAAGTTATATCATCAAACTCCCTCATTGTCCTTCTCATACACCTACAATAGTATGTGAAATGAGATCCCTTATCCAAGAAAGAACGATCGAGGAGAGGCAACGATGCGATGAATCACCGGTAGGGAGAAAAGAATCAGCACGGCGAAGGAGAGGGAGAGAGAAGACCGAATATGATGGGAGGAATCATCAGATTCATCACCATGGTGGAGGAGATCGCTGAATCGGGGAGACTGGGTCTGAGTCTATGAGAGAAAATCGGAAGAGAAAAAGAAAAACTATTCAGATTTCAGATCTAGTTCTAAATTTAGACAGCAACAAAATTTTCTTTTGTTTTATTTTATTTTATTTTTTATTTTTTATTTTTTCTAAATGCAATGACTCAGTCATGGATTCAAATTGGGATTTCGTGGTCAAAGTGCAGGGTCTAATTGCTAATCTCGACCCTTAAAAAAAAGAACGTCAATGACCTGGTGGGGTTGATGCCTAAGTGGGACAGGTTCACTACGACGGGTGGCGAACTTGGTAGCTAATGATTTCGTGACACGTGACACATTTTCGCAAAAAAAGCTGACTGAACGAAATTCGTTAACAGGGGCAGGGGTGCTAAACGACCTGAGCTTATATATCTAAAATTGGTTGTTAGCACCAGTCTTGAACTTGTATAAAAACTCGTTTAATAAAATGGCATCAGACTCTAATTCAGAAGCTCGGCCTTAGAGCCTCTCAGGCTAGCCTAGTACATTATTATTATTATTATTTTATATTTTTTATACTACTTGTATTAGCCTTCTCTTTCTTCTCAATCTATTGCACCCTATTTTATTGGTTAAACAGACTTTTTGAATGATTTTGTTCTATATTATGCTGTTTGGATATACATTGAATTTATGAATATTTATGGAATTACTAGTGTTGTTGATTGTATATTCTGTTTGGATAAATGTCTTATTTTTTTTAATCAGGCTAAATCAAGTTTTTATTTTTTGTAAATAAGTCAAGCCACAAGCCGATAATTATATTTATAACAGGTAACATGTTTGGTCAGGCTTAGGGGTGTTCATCAACCGATCCAAACCGATTCAAACCGCGAAAACCGAACCGAAAAATCGTAACCGAATAAATCGAAAACCGAAAAATCAAAAACCGAAAAAAAACTGCAAATTTTAATTGGATTGGATGGGTTGTTGAAAACCGATCCAATATATTAATTATCCTCTACCTACTTGTCTTTTCTCCCATCATAGCCCAAAAATTTCTAAACTCAAGACCCATTAACTCATCAACTAAATCCAAGAAAAAACTTAGTCACGTCTCATCAACTATAGTATTGTTTACTGATATTTTTGTATTTCAAAAGATTTTTTTTTTACAAAGTCAATATATACAAAAGATGTTATTTGCACAATAATCATGAAACTAATTTTAGGATATTCAAAAAATCGAAAGCCGATCCAATCCAAACCGAAAAAAATTGGATTGGATCGGATCGGATTTGAAAAAAAATCTAAACCGAATGGATGATTACATGATCAAACCGAAGGGATTGGATCGGATGAATTTTGCTTCCAAAACCGATCCAATCCAGACTGCGAACACCCTAGTCAGGCTGACACATTTAAATATAGGCTTAGCCTTTTAATACCAAAGCTGGGTTCGGCTTGGTTCGTTAACACTCCTAATCAGGGGTAGCGAACTTGGTGCACTATGTGACACAATCTCGTTGTCCGATTAGAATTATGCACCAATCACAATCAAAAAAAGAAAACAAAGAAAAATTGCTATTTAATTAACATAACAATCACCAATCATATTTAATGTACAAATCACCAATCACAATTAATATATCAATCATCAATCACAATTAATTTTGATCACAATTAATGTATTAATCCCAATTCATGTATCAATCACAATACCTCACATATTGGTACATTAATTATAATTGGTGATTGATACATTAATTGTTTGTGATACCATTGTTACAAATCTGAACGATATTTGTGAGAGATAAGTTATGTAAAATAAAATAAAAAATCATCTGATTGGATATGGTGATTGGTACATTAATTGAGATTAATACAATCAAAAGTTAATCTCTTGGTACATTATTTGTGATTGGTAATTAATTAAAGGGAAAAAGTATCTGATGTTACTTTAGACAACTTTGTCTAATGTTCATTGAAACGACGTCGTATTGGGGTTGAAAAATTAAAAATTGAGAATGATAAAGACAATATCCCTGAAATAAATTATAATTATAAAAATACCATGATTTTTGTCTCAAAACGATATCGTTTTGATGAACATTAGATAAAGTTATCTAAAGTAACTTTAGAAAAAACAAACTCTTAATTAAATAGCTCTTTCCCTTTGTTTTCTTTTTTTAAGTGTGATTGGTACATTAATTCTGATCGGACATAGCACACCAAATTCACTATCCCTAATAGCAAACTGAGTCCAATTAACTTTTCTGTGTGCGCCGTGTCAAGAAATCTTTAATTACTAAATTCACTATAACTTCGTAACAAACTTCAAAGTACGACAATATAATAAAAAACATTATTCACTTGGCATGAGGACAAAAAATTGCCGAAAACGTGACAATTTGTCACTGTTCCCGTAAGTAACGTGCTGACTCGGATCACCGTCATATGTTATTGGATAAGTGAAAGTGTCAAACACCAGCTTTATATTGCACACCGACAGAATACAAATCCCCACAAAATTATGTATATAAATATAAATAAAACAAAAATCACACAGATTTATTTTTTAATGATTTACGAAAAAGAATTCCTTTTTAAAATTATTTGTGTAAGTAATTTAAGATTTAGACAACTTTTTATAAAAAAAATCTTATTTTGGTTATAATTATGCTCTGATATGGATTAAATATAAACAAATAAATACGGACGAAGGGTATATATAAAATAAGAAATATATGAATCTAGCCTGAGCCTGAATAACAATTTTTCAAATCTCAACAATATTATTTTCTATTACAAGCCCATTAGTTTTTGGTTGTTTATCTAATAATAATCTATTACCTTTTTTTATCTTATTCTACTTTCCTACTCGTTAGTTTGGATAAAATTGCCAGCTAGACACAATCTCTCTCTACACAATCCTATCCCTATATATATTTAGCCATAAACCATGAACGACTCATTCACCTATCACTCTCCGTTTTCGAAGGCTATCACCAAATCTCATTCTCATTCTGCAGCTATTTTGATTACTTATTTTGGTAATTTATTTTTATTTCTCTCTCTCTCTCACCCCACATTTTTTGAGTGTATACATTTGTTCATGTGCATGATAGCTCAATTGTTCAAAACCTAAGGATTTGATGTTCTTTTTGCAGCTAATTGGTCTATTGATATTGTTTCATTTCTTTGAAAAAGTCTATACACTCCTTTTAGAAGGCAAAAGAAGAAAAGTGGTGGTGACATTGGAAGAAGAAAACTCTATTCCAGAAGCAGAGGCAAAGATGTTGGGAATTTTCAAGAACAATTTGGTCAATCCACCTGAAGAGCTCAATAGTCCAGCTTCTTTGAATTCATCCACAAAATCTAAGCTTCCTAATGAAATCCTTCAAGGATTTATATCCCACAATCCCTCCAATGCTTTCTCCATGAGCTTTGGAAATGATGCTTTACTAGCTTATTCCCCTTCAATCAAGGATCACAGGTAATGTAATGTGCCCATGGGTTGTCTCTGAATAAATTGATTATTTGAAAAATAAAAATTTTATCTTTACAAAATTTCATGGCAATACAAGAAATTAAAAGTAATGGGTTGGATCTGAAATTTCAGAACTTGATTTATGAACTGTGTTGTGTGTGTATATATATATGTACATTGAATTCTATTTCTCATACAAAACATGTGTCACACAGGTTGTTTTGTGGTTTGGATAACATGTATTGTGCTTTCCTGGGTAGCCTCAACAACCTAAACAATCTCATCAAGCAGTATCGTCTATCAAAGGGAACCAATGAGGCCATGTTTATCATTGAAGCCTACAGAACACTTCGTGATAGGGGTCCATACCCAGCTGATCAGGTCCTCAAAGAACTTGATGGCAGTTTTGGATTTGTGATCTATGACAACAAGAATGGAACAGTTTTTATTGCATCGGTAAGGCCCTTTTTGAATCTTTCTAACATGTACATTTTTTGGTAATGGAAAAGGAAATATGAGATTTTATAATGTACATGGTGTTATTAATCCTTTATGATGCTAATAATACCACATTTTGTTTGAGTAGGGTTCTAATGGACAGATTGGACTTTTCTGGGGTATTGCTACTGATGGTTCTGTAGTTATTTCTGAGAACTTGGAGCTTATTAAAGCAAGCTGTGCTAAATCATTTGCACCATTCCCCCCCGGTACTAATTTTATTTTGTGCTTGTATTAGGATATATTTTTTAGATTTTTACCCAGTTCATGGATTATTCGACCAATCTAGTTAAGCCAGAGACAGAAACACAAGGGTAACAAAATTCTCTTTATTAAATTTTTAACACAGCTGGAACAACCGATTAAGTTAGAACAACTATATACTAATTAATTCATGTACTTGGTGGTATGTTATATCACGATATTAGGATGTCATTCATTATTACAACTTAAATGTTGCAGCTTTGATTCTAAACCATTATTTAAATTAGTAACTATTCTATCAAATGAAATTAGTTCAATTATAAGATAATTAGCAAGATTGGCTTGGGGACTAAGAGAATTGTAGAAAAATAGGAACTATATAAAGGGTAATGTTTTGTTTGGAATTTTTATTAATGGAAAAACGGTGTTGAATGAAATTGCAGGGTGCATGTTCCATAGTGGGCATGGTTTGATGAGCTATGAGCATCCTACAAGGAAGATGAAACCTATGCCTAGGATTGATAGCGAGGGTGTTATGTGTGGAGCCAACTTCCATGTTGACTCCCAATCAAGGAAGTCAACGATGCCACGCGTTGGAAGTGAAGCAAATTGGGCTACTTGGGGCTCACAAGCCTGATTCATTCAACCATGATCAAAGTGGTGACCCAAAAAAAACAATGATCTAAGCAACTTTTTCTTTTCTTTTTTTATGCCAAAAGTAACGTAATATAATGGGGGTTACTTCTCCTTTTCCTTTTCTTTTTCCTTTTTTTGGAGTTAACTCAATCCTAATAGGCGAGTTGGTTTCCCAGTATCCCCATAAGCTTCAACTCAACTCACTATGAGACTAATTCAGAGTGCGAAGCGAGTCAGCGATGGGATTATTTAGCTATATCTGGATTTATTTATTTTTCTTATAACTTGTTTGTCTCCACCTAATTGGGACAGGGCTTTGTTATTGTTTGGTTCCACTGTTGTGTACGTGTTCATGATTGAAAGTTGAATGACTTTGGTCAATAAATATTTCTCGATCAATCCTTTTGCCCCTCCCTCTTTTCTTCGAGAATCAGAAAGATCGACTGTGTAATTTTCTTTTAGTTATATGTTATTGTTAATCTTTTCTTCATAAGCACAAAGAGGAGAGGAGAACATCATTACTCTCAATACAAATGTGGATTATAGATTTGTATAATGAGTGGCGCCGAGATTGGGGAAAAAAGAAGTAACTGTGGCCAAAGTGTCACTCTTGGCAAAAAAAAAATACTAAACTGCCACGTCAACAGTAAATTTTGCCAAAATGTCACGTGGCATATTTTGCTACACTGTGTAGCGAAATATGTGTACAAATAATTCGTTACACGGTGTAGCGAAATATGCAACGTCAGAACCAAAATGCCACGTGTCAAACAAGGAGAATTTCGCTACACAGTGTAGTGAAATTCTTCCTGTCTGACACGTGACATTTTTGGTTTTGTGCATTTTGACGCGGCATATTTCGCTACACCGTGTAGCGAATTATTTGCACACATATTTCACTGTTCAGTGTAGCAAAATATGCCACGTGATATTTTGGCAAGATTTACTATTAGCGTGGCATTTTGGTGTTTTTTTTATCCAACAGTGGCACTTTGGCCATTGTTCCAAAAAAGAAACTAGACCATCGAAACTTATAAAACTTAAAAAATTAAATGATTTAATTTTTTTTAATATTTTAAATGCAGAATTTGATTTAAAAGAAATCAAATTGTTTATTTTTTACAATTAAAACATGGATTAGACTTTTTTTAAAGTGGTAGGAGCACTTTAAAAGAGAAATTAAGAGTTTTTACAACTTCACACTTTGTAATACTTAATAACTCCACACTTTTTTAGTCCTCATTTTAAAAAAGCTATATTCTTCAAACATAATATAATTAATCCAATATCTAAGTTTGACTTAGTATTCTTTCTCATTAAATTTATAAGAGAAAAAATGTATGCATAAATAAAAATATTAAAAAAAATAAACAAGTATTGCAAATTTTAATGAAATAAATGATACTTGAAAAATATTTAGCCTCATTAATTGTGAATTATATTTGGTTCTTTTACTCTCTTTTTTGGTAATATGATTCTTTTACTTTATTTTGCAATACTCTGTACATAAAAGTTTCGTATCAAATGTCAGCTGGGGTGAAAGAAGGGTGAAGTCTAATTCTAGTAATTATTATTATTTTTTTAAATATTGTATAAAAAAAACATAAAATGTGTTGGATTTATACTTTTTTTAGTAACAGAATTTATTTTAGTACCGATTGAGATATGATTTTTTTAATTCTTTATGCAGACTCTTTTACTTTATGCAATGTTAATTTAAGCTTATTTACCCAAAAAAAATGTTAATTTCAGCTTCACTCATTATTATTAATTACGTATTTTCATTTTTTACAATTTATTTAAACTCATGAAAACGGTGATAAAGTTTTAAGTAAAAACTGTTGTTTAAATTTAGGCTATTCACTAGATACTAAATGTCTATCCATTTTTTAAAAGTAGCCTTATATATGTTGAGTTATTTTAATCATATTAAATATTCCTATAATTTCTAATTAGGAATAAGAACTGAACTACAATTAAACTGTATAAAATCTTCTAATATGTACGGTTAACAATTCACAAGTGATACTAACGTAACTTCATGCTGTATTTTTATCAACTTCCTTCTAAAAGTCGCGTTGTATTTGTAATTAAATTGAATTGTTACCGTATAGTTACCCACGCATCCTGCTAATTATATTTTGCAAATAGCATTGCACTTCATCGTTTCCTTAGAAAACACATAATAAATTGATAAAGTTTTCTCATAATTAATAAAATTTACAGTACTACTCTTAAGAGACAACATTAGTATAATTGACCATTTACTACAATATGATTTAACTGTGGAGTAAACCATCTAATCTACGGGGGGGTGACGATTAAGCAGATAGATAAATATATTGTAACAACGGATTGGTTTGCAATAACAATCACAACAACCGAGCTCCTTGAACCCAATAAAAGAAAGCACTTTGCCTCTTACAGCACGTAACCAACCACCCATTACTCCAATTTAGTTACAGAACTTTGCAATCAGTCCAATGAGGCTTTGATGATCATGCAAGATTCGTTGGCCCTAACTGGAAGAGAATCAAAGCCTAGAGGCATCAGAGAGTCGCCAATTGGGAACTTGGTTGATCTGATTAGGAACATTGATGATATAGAACATGACCTGCGGAAAATAGCAGATCAACGTTCTGAAAAGATGGCACTGTTTCCCATTTCTGACAAAACTAGTTGCGGTAGCCATAATTTTAATCCACGTCCACAAAAATCTGCAAAAACTCAAGTCAGAATGTTAATCTAACTTTGGAGTTTGAAGGGCAAAGAGAATGCACTACATTAAATATGTTTTAGAAAACCTGATCATACAGAAAATGTAGCTGATCATGAAACACAATCAACTCGTACAACTAACCTCTAAGTCAGGAAGTGGTTCATAAGACTTCATCTCCCTAGTATCAAACACTGTAATGCCCGTGATTCTCTGAATTCCAGGTTTAGTAGCTATGAGATTCTGCATAAGTCATGACATTACTAACAGTATCAAACAACAAAGTACCTCCTTCTAACATTACTAACCTATGCAATGCACTGAATTGTAATTTGCAAAATAAAAATAAAAATTCCCCATTCATATTATCATCAACTATTTTTGCGTGTCTCTCATTACACCCCCGAAAAATGAGGCCTAAATAGATAAATCAATTAATAAGCGATAGCCAGAAAGGATAATGATATAAACGGATACTAAATTGGGCTAGTTTAATAGAATTATCAACAAGAAAACTCTTCTAGCTACTGATCTCAGAGAGAAATCAGCATCCAAAGAGGTACCACACTGGATATATATGAACAAAGCACCAAAAAAGAGAATGAAAATAGTTGCAGACTCTCGAGGGGTCTGCTGCCTCCCTTCCCACTATTTCCTGCTCAGAAATTCCATGCTCCCTTCTGCCATTATTCATGTATTCTCTTGATAACCGAATGTTCTCCCAACTAATCCTGGCCCACTTGCCACATGTGCAGGTGGTTACAATGTATATACCCAAGCTGATTCTTTCTCGCAACTCCCACGCTCACCTCAGGAACCTCGGTTCCTCCACTTTTCTCTTAACTCTCCTACCATACACTCTTTTAATGGGCGGATTTCTCAGATAATAATAACACTCTCCAACCAAAAAAAAAACAAAACTAACAAAAAGAAATATTGATTTAGGGTCTATTTGATTGTGTTTTGATTTTTTTGTTCTTATAAATGTTTTGTAGAATAGTCATGGAAACAAGTGTTTTCTTTATTTATTTTTTTGGTTTTAAAGTTAAAAATCAAAACACAAAACAAAAACAACTCGGACATGTTCTCTAAATTTAATTCTAAAAACAAAAAAAAGTTACAATTTTTAAAACTTCTTTTACAAAACAGGCCTTATCAAACAAGTTTTTTTGTTTTGAATACCAAAAAACTGTTTTTAGAAACATTATTCAAACATGACCTTAATATCCGGAATTTTGGAGGATATACCTCAATCATTACAACTTAAGAGTGCCTCATAATCAATGATAGGAGAAAACTCTATCCATGTGTCCAGGGATAAACATTCCTCATTGATAAACCAGTACAGATGCACTTTTTGTCGCATCAAAATCCAAAAAGAGCCAGCTTATTAAAGGAATGAAAAGATTCCAGAGGTTTGATAGTGACTTATCCACAACATGTGGCAGTTCATGATAAGCTAGTAGCAATTTAGTAAAAAGAAAATAAAATAAACAAAAGATTCTATCAGACATGAAGAAAACTGAAAGCTGAAGATAATAAATGAAAGTTTTTTAGTAAGTAGACTAGGTACTCACTAAATGTTGTTAAGGAATATCCGAATATGTTATATTTTAAATTTTCAATAACACTATGACTAACACAGGTATCCGACAAATAGATGGGCAGAATTCTATAATTCTTACCAGGTCAAAATTTGTGGATCCTAAAGCCTCAACCTGTGATAAAACCTGTACATAGATTCCAAAGTCATATGTCAAAGTTAACAGCAAGAAAAATTCAAGCACTGGGACTGGGTATAATGGCAATATCTTAACTCCAAACAAAAATTATGATACAAGAACTCCATGTACCAGTGAAAAACAAAGGTACAATGTTGACAATATTAGACAGAGATGATACAAAAGAAAAATGCATTACCATAGATTGAAGGCCATTAATCATAACAACTCTCTCCCCATATGAACCATTTTGAGATAAGCTAACTTGAAACGGGCCCAGCTCTCTATCTGACTGATTTGTAAGATTCAGTTTCAGCTGCAAGGAACAAGCAATTAATTTCAGCTTCCAAAGCTTTATTTATTTCTGTTAGTAAAATTAACTTAAGGATTAAGATTAGAACATGATCAGAAATAGCTATCCCTATTCCCTAAGATGGTGAATACTGAATAGATTCTACCAACAGCAGTTACAGAGGATGAAAATCACCCATGGCCTAAACCCCTTATTTAAGATGCCACTTTCTAGTTTATAATGGGTAGCATAATGAGAAGACCAGTGTATTATAAATTACCGTGAAAGGTCTTTGAAGGTTAATGATAGATGGAACCTCTACAACTTGCAATTCAATCTCCTTCTTTGTTGTCGGCTGCAATGAAACATTTCCGGACAAAATACAGGCGTATGAGAAAGCTAAATAATCATAATTCAAAAATGTGAGGCATCCCCCCCCCCCCCCCAAAAAAAAAAAAAATACTTGTGTAAAAGCATTAAATTCAACTAATAAGTTAACATGCATCCAGAAAGACTTGAAGATTAAACATGTCATCAATGATTATTGTTTTGAAAGTTAAAGGCCAAAAAGGAAAAGCATCATACTAGATACAGATGAATGCTATGAAGAAACAAAGAAGCCTAACCATCAACTTAGTTTTATCCACTGATATTTAACAAGGTTACATGAATACACCAGAAAACTAATTCATCTATTGATTATAATTTGATGGAACTGTATTTCTATTAATGAAGAGCAGAGGAGACTAGCTGCTTACAACAAAGATAAAAAGAATTGAAATGCAGAAAACATGAAATTAAAACAGAAACAGAAAATTGAAAAGTAAACTCCAATGGTCTGCCAACTCAGAACCTCTATCCCCTTCCTAAACCATTTACTTAATTTATGCCTACCAAGCACTACCTATCCTTCCCTCTTATGTTCTCATTTTTCCAAACCGAATTCCCATCTCCTACTATTCCTTGCCAGCTAAGCATTCATATATGCTCTAGACTTAACAACTTGAATAGGTCTATCATCATTAAAGAAGGAAAAAAAAAAAGCTTACAGTCCCCAATATCTGTTGGGTCTGCAGGCGACCGGGTTCACCCAAATTTGTTCGCCATGTTATCTGGAGTTTACCAAGAACATTACTTCCCTCTACTTTTGTTTGAGCAGAACCATCCGGTGACAATTTTAATTGATAAAGATAGTTGTAAATTCCTCCACCGGATCTAATTAGAACTGGCAGCTTAAATGCCTCCCTGAAAATTTAATTTACTTTTTAATCAATATCAATAATAATAACAGAAAATACATTGGTACCACATGAGCCAAAAATAAAAGCGAAAATAATGGCCAAAACTTGGTAAGTTTTAAAATGCTTCAATCCAAAAAGAATACACAACACTGACCTTGTAATACTATCTTTTTCGGAATGGTGCTCATCACCTTTAAGTATTGTTGCACTATAATGCTGAGCGGGTTCAAAATCAACTTGGTCCATGAAAAGGTTTGATTTCGTATGGTTTTCAATACAAGCTTCCAAAAAGGTTGTTTCCTGAGAGACATCAAGGAGATAACTAATGCAAAAATTTAGGTAGGGGCAGGCACTTCAATTTACAGATCTGATATAATTTCCATAAATCCCTAAATTGAAGATAAAAACATGACATTTTTTTCACCTAAATATTGATAAGTCAATTTACAGATCTGATAATTTCAATGTACGTTTAAAGTTGGGTAGCTTGACAAGTCATGGCTTCTCATGAAAAAATAAAAAAGAGCTGGTGGCAAATTAATATTTTGAAGAATAAAGGTTAAATACCTTACAAGGTGTTTGGTTTGTTTTCTATTTTCATTTTCGATTAATACTTATTCACTGATAATTTCAAACATGCAACCTTGTTTTCATCCATTTATTATTGCCATCATTTTGTGAAGGAAATAGTGAAAACTTTGTTTTCAAAATTTCCTTCACAAAATTTTGAAACCAGGAAACAAAATGACAAGGTTGCATTTCTGTAATTATTAATGAAAACATATCGGCTGAAAAATGAAACAGAAAATAAACCAAAAGCCCCCCTTAGGTAGCATTTTATTTGATTCTGAGAGATTGGTTCAAAAAGACAAGTAATGATTATGATTAGATATCAATCCAAAATTGAAGACCGAATCTGTGACAAAGCCCCAAAAAATGAACACATAAAATATGTTAATACAATTTCAGGAGTTAAAAATAATTCAAATATTTCACTTGAGCATATCTACTGATCAAATCATATGTGAATATTTTGTATAAAAAAAAAATTCATAACCCAGATCCGTAATGTATTTATGAATAAAAAATCACAGAATGTGAAAATCATTAGATTTTAAGGAATGTATAACTTGTCGTTTTTCTGTATCATTGTTCTTCATGAGGGAGCACAATAGTATTGCTAGATTCCTCCCTCACCTTATTTAATCACACGTCTACAAAGAAAGCCAACAACTACTTATACCTATGAATTAATCTATGTATCTATCTCAGTAATGATTTTTTCCCAAAAAAAAAAAAAAAATTTTAAATGGATGGGAAAGTAGAGATAGAAAGCTCATGCAGTTTTAAGATTGGCTATACCAGGTTCATTGCTGAGAGCATATAATTAAATCCAAGTTTATCCTCTATGGAGTGCTATCAAGAAATTAATTAGAAGAAGCAATATATACTACAAAAATTGATAGCTTAAAAGAGGATAAGATTGAAATGGAAAAAATACACATGTATACAGTTGTACACATTCATTATCATACCTTGGTTTATCAATAAAATCTTCTATTTCTTTGAACTGATTTTTACTCATCTTTAGTGCTTGGATAACAAGGTGTTTGACACCAAAAAAAAATGGAAACATGGTGAAACTATAATGCTCTTAAGGATTTAATTGTCTGTTTTAACACTAATAAATTTAAAAACCACAAATTTCATTATGCTTTTCCATTTTAAGGACATAGACAATCAAATAATACTGAACACAATTTATTCAAATGGTGTAATCTGAAAAATTCAAAAACTGACAAAAACATACTACACATTAGATATAGTTAGACTATGTTAATTGCAGAAGACCAGCGTGTATCTCTATCGCTTACAATTGAATGGGAAATTCAAATCCTCAACATACCTTGATAACACGGACCTGCAAAAAAGTTTTCAACAAGCATGTAAGTCATGTAAATGCTGAAAGAACGATTAGTGAGCATTTAATAACCCAGGTACTGTATAATTGTTTTGTTTGAGAACATGGTTTCATTCAAATTCAATCAATATCATTTAGAAAGAAATGAAATTAATACCTTTGTCCTAACGGAAAGTGGATTAGCAACGATGAACTTAAAAAATTGGGGAAGATATTTACGCTCACCATCACCATCGTGGTACAATGCAGTGCAGACCAGCCTGAGGACATGAGCACAGTCAAATTAAAAGAAAAACCAAAAACAAGAAAGAAATCACATGGCATATCCAAACAAAATGACATGCAAGCATGCACATACTGATGCAATGACATTATTGGAGAGTTACAACTCACGTGTGAGGTCCAAGCTCTTTCACATCATGTTCCACGATAAAATCATAACGCCCACCAGCACGTATCGACTCAACTGGTGATTTTGATGTATCTAAAAGGAGTATTCTCTGTCTCTCTGTTTGAATTTCAGCCTGCCACTTACAATGTTTTGATTAATTATGTAAATTAAAATTTCAAAGGACCGAAAACGTATTCAACACTCTGACTATTATGAATACAATTGCATTTGCATGTTCTTGTTCTTAAATTGACCTATGACACCTGTAGTCTTCTACTTATTTATCTATTCACCACAATCAACTTAAAACAAAAAGAATGGATTAGCTATGCACAGATTAGCATAAAAATTTCTCTGCTGCAAGTCAATCTCCCACATACATGCCTGTCGGCCCCAAACGATAACCAAAGGGGATTTCCCACATGACCTCCTCAAGGTTCTCTGAAGTGTAAAGCATTCCATAGCAGGGTGCCATCTGTTAGTAGTGAATAAGTGAAAAATGGTGATTCAAGACACAAAAAGGTAAAGAAAGTCACATGAGCCTCAATTGGCTGTCAAAACTGGCACTTTTCTCAATGGAAGACATGTATTATAAAGTCTTCCCACGGTGATCCATGTGGTTATCTATAGGGAGTTCATTTGGTTAAATCTCAGATAGAAAAACAGAGTAGAATCACGAGCTTGGGTTCAGAATGGGGCGCTTAAAACACTTTGAACTACGAGGGGGCATTAAAGAAACACAAAATATACTATTCAGAAATAAGATGTCTACAAGAAGCTAAACACATTGTCCCCATATAATGAGTGATTCTCATATGCATCACCAATTGTTATTCAGGATAACCATTTCCTTCCTTTCAACTGCTTTCATTTCCAGTTCTATGTATTACTATAAGTAACATTCAAACTCCTCCCAAGGGTTTCCACATAACCACTATGACAAATTCATTCATAAAACAATACTATGTTTCCCGTACAGTAAAAAACACTACAATTTAGCACTGCTTCATTTTTTTTTTAATAAAAAAAATAAAAAAGATTGAGAATCACCTTAATAACAATTTCTCTGACTTCAAAATTGGAACTATTGTTTATACTTATATAGCTACAGAAAGTCTCTCCCAAATAAATGGCTCTGCATCCATCACACAAATTGGCAGTTTCAATCAGCAACTAAATAATAATTAATAATAATAATAATTAATTGAAAATTGAGGAGAGAGACCCAAAAGACTGAGGGAGAACGAGGAGAGCAGAGAGTCCCATAGCATCGGAGAAGTGACGAAGGAGGAATCGGTTACGATAGTTGGGATCGGAGTCAGAGTCAGAGTCACCGGCGACAAGAGAGGTGGAGACGGCGGCGTCGGGGTCGTCGAAGAGGTCCTCGCCGACGAAGAGGTCGACCGGGTCGAGGCGAATGGGCGGGTCAACGTTGAAGGAAGGGCGGCATAGCCTCATAACCCGAAACGCGAGGGAATGAGATCCGGATGCTGCTTGACTCATCCTTCTCAATCTGCTGAATGCAAATGCAAATGCTTCAGAGGATTCGGATCATTACTCCTACAGCTTCAACTTCGACTTCTACCATTCTGTTAATAGTGGGTGGGTATACGGGTCAACCCGTTCCATGTCAACGTGGGTCCGCTCCAGTTACCACTCCTATTTTTTATTTTTTTTCACAGTCCACGTCACATACTTTTAGGTATTTCTTCACACATCAATGACTTTAAATTTAGATAAAAAAAAAAAAAAGGTTATAAATGACATTTATAATTCTTTAAAGAAAAGTAAGGTAAAAGGCTAAGCCACTCTATAAGATGGTATATTTAATTTGGGAAAAATATTTTTATTTTTATTGCAGAAAAAATTTCTTATTTATATAAAAATGAATGAGCCTTATTATAAAAGGAAAAAATTAATATGACTCATTTATTTTTATATGAGTATAACAACAAAAAATTGCAGTAAAAACAAAAACATTAAACTCATTTAATTTAATACATATAAGTGAAGTAATTAGAATTCGAGAAGAAAAAGATATTTTTAATGTAAAATAATTAAAAGGAATTCACTTGAGAATATAAATGGTTAAGATTAAAAACATTGATCCAAAAATAAAAATTTATAAATATTTTAAAGTACATGTAACTGAAAATTTTTATGGTAAAATAAATTTTTAAAATGATTAATAATTTGAAGTACAATAGAAGGTTATTCATTCTAAGAAAATAACTCATTTTTTTTTGGTAAACAAATAACTCTATTTTGTTTATCAAGAAAAAAACTCTATTTTATTATTACTTTAATGTTTCTATGATAAATGCAGATAAATTATCTACATTTACTTTCAAAACGACGTTATTTTGTGTTGAAAAATTAAAAAATTATAATGAAAAAATTATTTTAATCTTGGAATAAATTATAACAAAAATATCTTAATTTTTACCACAAAATGACATCGTTTTTTAAGAAGCGACTATATGTAAAATATCTAAGTTGCAATGCACCATTTTCAATTCACAAATACACACCTAAGAATCTCCCAAAAAATAATACACGATTAAACATTTAAAGTTAAGAAAAATGAAATTGAAATAAAATTGAAAAACCTAGCTAGGTAAGTTAAATTGAAATTTAAAAGCATAGAAGAAGGAGGAACAACTAATTTAAAATTTGAAAAGTAATATTAATTTTTTTTTTCAATATTGACCCTATGGATAATTCTTTTTTTTCCTAATTAGGGAGCGCTTAAGCTCAAAAAAAAAATTGAAATATAAAGATGCAAGAGTTCTATAGTTTATAAAAATTAAGTAAATCTCTTTCTAGTAAACTGATCATTTGAGGATGAAGCTAATTGAAGATGATGATATCCTCTTCCATTTCAAGGCTTTTTTTCGCAAACTATTCTTTGCATTTATTGCTAGACATAATTTAGGTAGCCATAATTATACATTTTACTAAACAGTATAAAAGTTATTATAAAGTAATTTTGAATATATAATATAATTTATTATTTATATCTATCTATCCAAATCATGCGCTTCAATCAATAGTAATTCATTGACCCGATACCCCAAGTAATGACCAATTCAGTTTTAATAACATTAATACATATGTCCCATTATACGCTTTACTCTCATTCCCCTGATTAACTTTATCCGTGCACGTTTTATTTGGATTTAAGATTGATAGAAAATGACCTATGGTTTGGCTTAAGATATATATATGAAGACATCATCTATCTATGCTGAACGAGATGGATAAATTTCACCATTTCTTCGTGAATTATGTTATTCACATATTCTTTTGTCATATAATATAAGCAATCTAAATTTTAGAAGAAAAACAAAATTAAGTGGTATCATTTAACAAGTCTCAAATATAGCAAAAATAAAAAATAAAAAGGCCATAGTACATTTCCAAGCAATAATTATGTAATACGGTTGTGTTCGATAGTCATAAAAAAAAAAAGAGAAATTATTATTGCAGTAATATTTCAAACAATAAGTTCAATAGTACACGTATTTTCTGTATTAGTTTGGTATCCTCCTAAAAGTAAGTATAAAATTTAACTATAAATCAAACAAAGAATTGAATGAAAAATTTATCCTTCTAAATTTTCACATTCAATTGCAAACTACCTTAAAAAATGAAGCAAGTTTGGTGTAAGGAGGGAAGGGAGATTCAGGAATGGATAGACATGGTCCTTGGACAATGATTGCAGTCAAAGTCTCAGCCTGATTAATAATTAAAATTTAACATTCTAATAATACTGCACAAAATTTCATTTAGAAAGATTACAGGTGATGTATATCCAATATTCCTTTGGTTATTGTACCTTAAGATGTACAAATGACAATATGTTTAATGCCTGATCAGTAAATTGAAAATCAAATAATAATTACGAAGTTTCCACGGCAAATGAATTGTATACATTAAAAACAAAATTATAGCATTTGATTGAATAATAAATATAAATTTAAACCAAACCACTCCCCGTTGAACCCGACTAAGAGTGTGGGGTAAAAGTAATTCTTGTACGCAGTCTTATCTTTACATAATTGCAAATAAGCTGTTTGTTGAATTCGAACCCATGACCTTTAAATCATAAAAGAACAGTTTTACCACTGCTACGATTCGCCCCCTTTTGAATAATAAATATAAATATATAAAATTCATTCCTGCCTCTCCAAGCGCCAAAAGAAATACAGAAAGATAATCTCAAAGAAATTCAACAAGATTGAATGCAAATTTGAAATATATATTACATATGTTAAGGGTTTCATTACTTGAACAATCTTCCTTCAGCAGAAATTGTTTCTACAAACAAAGTAAACATCTCCAAATGCTATATAATGGGATGCACTTCAGTGATTTCAAAAGTAGAGAAAGTCTACATAAGATACGACATACCTGCCAGGAGTTAACTACAAATACTCCATGGATAAATTAACACCTACTGCTGGTGGAGTGACTTGACCATAATTACCAAAAACAAATTGACATCTGAATGAATTGATTTTTGAATATTTTAAACTCAGCACAGTGAACTGCTCAAATCAAGATATGGCCACCAACAATAACAATAATCTACACCTCTTACCCCTCCTGTACAATTCCAGTTAGCACCTCATCTGCATTCATTTCATAGTTAGCTATAAATATATGCATGCCTCTCCCTTCCGCCAAAGTTAAATTCACATTATAATAATACCAAAATGAAGCTATCTATACAACCCGAACCCATGTTCCACCACATATTGGGCAGCCATATGCCCAGCGGCTGATCCACCACATCTCGCGGTCATTGTGACTAGGAGAGGCAGTAGCACCGGGCGATGCAAAAGCAGAAGTTTGCCGCAGACATCTTATGCACTGCACCATGGAAGAAAACGAAATCACAAAATAGGAGGAGCAGGCAGATAATAAAAATTAAGAGGTCAGGTAGAAGAATTAACTAGTGTCTTTTACTAATTTATAAGCATAAGAGGAATGACTTTGGCTACAAAATAGATTATGATTGACATTGACCACAATAACATTTCTGACACTACTCTAAATCTCTCACTCACTATCTACACTTGCATCAGTTGCCACATAGCAATTTTTCTTCTATCTATTAGTATTGGTAAGGATAGATATACAGACAAACCACATATACACACTGCCAAAAAAGTTAGAGAAACCTGGTATTTATTACGTTAAGAGATGTTTTTTTGGGATAAAAATTACGTTAGAGATATTACACTTGCTCTTGGACCAAACACAATTTAAAAAAACAGACAAAAAGTCAAGGTGTTTTCACAAGGTATCAGAAAACTTCAGTAACAAATGATCAAGAGTTTAACCACATTGAGCCTAGTCAGCAGAAAGTTGCTTTGGTTTTCAGTAAATGATACAAAAATCATTTCAACTAAAGTTGCCTTGTACAGCTAGAGATACAAAAATCATTTTCAGAACTTTGTTTCTAGGTTGAGTGATTAAATAACTTGTTATCAAAATCTCTTTTGAGAAATGCTTACTCCCCCAGCCCCCGGGATTATGTGTTAGGTACAATACAGCACTTCACAAGCAGGATGCCCACAAAATATGAATGCAATACCTAGTCCCTTGCTTAAGGTTAAGCTTTCAAAATAACAGATTCTATCTTTTTGGTCTAGATCCATCTAAAGCTGCTGCATGTGATTGTGAGGTTTTTCTTCTGTCAAGTGACTCGATTCATCAGAAGTTTTTTTTTTAAAAAAACCTACAAAAGCAGTAATGGTGTAGAAAACCTATGAAACAACATGTCTATCTATAGTTAAAATAAAATATATCTAATATTCCCCAATATGTCTATTCAAAGTTATGAACCAAAGAAGCAAAATACTCGGGATTGCATGTTACTAGAGAGATTCTAAATGCCAAATCTTCAAATTCACATAAAAAATTGTTGATACAATAATCATTTTGAATTCCTTAGTTGACAGTTTTAGAAATAGTTTTCTAGAGCCTGCAGAAAATGACACAAATCATCCAAATAACAAGCATTTCCAAGATTTCATCCAAAAAAATAAAAATCTCCAAGTTACGTAACTTATATATACATATGGATAGAAAACGAAATAAACACATGAACAAGATATATTTTCAGACCTTGTACCAGACCCCTTCAAGGCCAGTCTTCCACGTCGCAGTAACAACATCTTTTCGAGATCCCATTATACCAAGATAAGCTCCTAAGCCCACAGAAGTGTTCAGCCCAAAAGCTGCATCTCTTTCAGACATCCTGCGCTTCCTTGGCCACAAGCGATGGGTTCCATAGTAGACATCACTATGCTCCAATGAGCCGAAATCATGTGGGTCAGCACAAATTAGTTTAGGTGAGTCATCCGCACAATCGACATCCTCTAGATCAGACCAAGGTCCTCCAAACATATTCCGTTTATGCCACTCTTCTGCTGGAGGGTGGAGTTCTAGCTCGCGTAGTAGAAGACCAGCAGCATCGGCACCCCTAGGACGGGGCATATTCTGCATATTACATTTTTGTATTTGTTTTAAAAATAGGCATTCACAGAAATGTTATGCACCCAAAAGAAAGAAAAGAGAGGACAAAACAAAAACAACTAAGTAGGCATCAAATGCTTAATGTTCAATCATAAACAGTACCTACATAATTTAAAAAAATGTGCTGTATCACTAAATCAGAAATAAAATATTGCTATAAAGGAGAATCATCATGTAAAGAAAGGAAATTGAACCACTTTCCAGCCCTACTTAATTTTTATATCATCAAAGATAATCCTCAAGTAAATAGAATCAAAAACTTGAGGCGATATATGAAATACTAAATATAACTAGTTTAATTTGTCTCCCACAAATAATAAATTTAAAAGAAGTAGAAAAGCATAAAAGTTACCTGTAATTGTGGACCAAGGGATGCTTCCACAACTTCAGGCAGTACAGTATAGTTTCCATCAATATAGTGCAGACGAACCTGAATGTTGTTGCTCCCCACCTGAGAAACTGGCAATGGGTGTTGCAGCCCAGCTGTTCGACGACATAGATCCATAAGCATCATAAAAAGCACCTTAACCTACATTGTAAGTGCAATGAGAACTTAAGGAAAATTACGGTCAATTTTATAATCTCTGTAAGTAAAATAAAGAATTAGCACAACTTTGAAAAAAAAAAATTATGTAGGATACAAATATAAAAAATAAAAAATTAAGCCTTTGGATAAGTGACAACAATTTATCACTTATACCTCTTCAAACGTATATCCTTGGCCAGCATTGCCACTGCCAAATCTAGAACGCCCAGGATGTGCTTCTTCACCACCCTTTGCCCCAGGCACAAGCTGACCAGCTCGACCTGTCTGACCATCATCTGACTTAACCACAGCTGAAACTGGTTTTGCAATCTCCTCCACCTTGCCAGGAGCAGGAGCATTAGATTGAGGCTTTTGTATATTTGTATCAGTAGTTCTATTTGCAACCCCAGTATAGCGGGGAAGTTGAGTTCGTAGAAAGAAAAAGCAGAAGAGCAAAAGTTGGCATAGTCTGTGAAGGAAATGACAGTCCCCAATAAGTCTGACTGCTGGTGTTCCAGGAAATGTTCCTGTATTAATGCTAATAGGCATTAATGTCGAAGGACCACTGATGGGGTTAGGAGTTGGATTGGACCCTCCATCAGTTGAGTTACTAATCTTGGCAATAGCCCCTTGTACCCAGGTTTGACCTATGGAGCTCGTGGTCCCATTTTGACCTCCTAGAAAACATTGTCTTCATTTTAGTTTGATAAGCAAAACAAACAATAAAGATCATGCTAATGGTGAAGATGATTAAAGTGATTCATGGTAGGATAGTTGATCATTTTCTATGACCATGGGAAGAGATGCATCAAACCTATGCTTCCAAAGTAGATCCACAATGATTCAAGACTGAACTTAATTACAATTTAAAAGGATAGATGTATACTTTTTTTTGGTGAATAGAACCGTAGTAAGGATAGGTTACTCTAATACTACCGATTAGAGTGCTATTAGCATGCTGAGATATCAGAGGGACAAGCAAAAGCACACCTAGAGGATTACCTCCACGCATTTTTTTTCTCCATAAACAAGGCTACTTAACGTCCCTTGGTGCCAGAGGATCTCCATATGGAGGCATGTTATTTGATAAACCAAACAGTATATTTATTTTAAAAAGATTAAATTAATCTACAGGTCCTTATACTTTCTGTTAATTTTTTAAACAGGTCAGTGAAAAACAACTCCCCAAAAAATCCCAACTTGCAAGAGTAGGGATGAAGAAGTCTTTGTAGACAGCCTTATCTATGTATTTTTGTAAAGAGGTTGTTTTTTGAATTTGAACCCGTGACATTTCAGTCACAAAGGAACAATTTTATCATAGGTACCCATAGTTTACAAACTATAAATGGAGTCTTTTAGTTTCAAAAGCTTTTTCAATTGAAGAATGGACTCAAGGAACCTGATAAGAAAGATTTTGAAACTGTTATGGCCCATTCATAGTTTTAAAAATATAGGGACCTATTTAAAAATTTGATTCCAAAAATAACATATCTGATCAGTGCACACTGACCCTGACTTGTTGCAGGAGTTGCTGAACTTTGGGTAGGACTGGCAACCATATTGCGGTTGCTTCCAGTGCCTGCACTCACAGCATGACTCGCCAAGGTGCGACAGAAACTTGCATAACGCCGCAAACGTGTAACAAAATGTGCAGCTAGATCAAGAACTGAATCAACATAAGCCTGTGAAGATTGAAACAATTAAGACAAAAGAAATTGTAAAAGTATAATAAAATAAATTGTATGACAAATTTGAACAACTCACTGGAAAAAGGAAGCCAAAAAAAAGAAGAAACTCTAAATGGTTTAATAATATATGGATGCATTCAGATAGTTAGGCCGTAGGTAGGCATACTTATCTACAAAATGCATAATTATATGCAAGCATTTCAGAGCTTTCGTGTGTGAGAAGATAAATAAGTGTACAAGTAACTATCACAAGACTGAAAAGAGCAATGATAAGGAGTATGCAGAACCACAACAAAATTGCATTTTACATTTACTGAATAAACAAAATAAGGAACGCAAGTTTCCAAACTGTAACAAAAGCTGACCTGAACACTAGGAATTAGTGCAGGATCAACAGCCATTGATTCAGGCTCAATGCTGGATAATGTTTCACCAGATGCTTGCCATGGCTCAGGCACTAAAGCAGAAGAATTTATCAACGCAGACTCAATTCCTTTACCAAGCATATCCAACAACAACCTAGCTTGCATATCCAAAACCATTGCCCTAACCTCTTGGGCGCTTGATCCTTCCAATAGCCTACACTTTATCCTATCTAGACTCTGGAATGGTATAAAACAAAGTTTAATTAGCCTAAAAAAGCACAACGCAGAGAGGAACTACCGCATACCTGTCTGAAAAAACTACAATAAACAAAAGAAAATAATAGAAGAGAATCAATATTCTTTAGAATGAAATAAGGATCCTCCCATCTGAAAAACACATTAAAGGGATGGACCAAGTTTGGTTGAAAAGTAGACCTCAGCAGATTTTCTTGGAGTTTAAAAATCAGATTCAAACTGAAATCAACATGGGCATTTAAAAAATTTCAAAACCATATGAAAATTTATATCACCGAACTGACCTCAAATCAAATGTCCTATGATCACTTCAAAACCAAATTAAGCTCTTTATCATCCACAATTTATTCAGTGAGGACAATCAATACACAGTGGTTATACCTAAATATATATGTAGAAGTTTGAACATGAAATACAAGATTGTCACTAGCAAGCATTTGCTCCTGGGTCAAAAATTAGAGGAGGTTTTGTTTTATATATGGCACATTCCACCAACAGTCAATATAAAAAAATATAGTCTCATCAGAGTTAACAGAAAAACAATGAGATCCCTCTGGAGCTAATAATGAAGAAGTTGAGGAACAAATTGGAGTAAACTATGAAAGCCAATGACGGGATGATGCTGAAATGGTGATAGTTCAACAGTAACTTACTGGACCATACTGTTGCCTGTGCTGAGCAGAAGGAAGAGAATGAAAATCCGCATCCAAAACTGCAAGAACGCTGTTAAGTGAAACTGAAACCAGGAAAAAAAAATATCACTTGTCAATATACAGCATCAAAACAGAGCACTTGTAAGAAACAGGAAATCATATTCTCCTTTCTTTCTCTGGCACAAACTTGAACAAAACAAAAACACCAAACGACTTAATAACAAGCACCTCCTTACCAATACCATCCTCAGCAGCACTCTGTGTGCACCCCACAGCATCCCACCAATCAACCCCAACCAAAAGGCTCCACCAAAACCTGTTTTCCTAATAGCGTTAGCCAAGCCATGCAAATCTTCGACAAAAGAAACATATCAGAACTACCATTACCTGAGACAATTGACAAAATATTGGCAGATGCTGTAAATTTATAGAAATACTACGAAACAGTTAACATATCACATACTAAAAGGGGTTAAAGAAATCACCTTTCAGCAATTGCACGCTCCCAAGTTGAAGAATTAGCCTTTACTTGACTAATGGGAATAGAAGGAGGAAGAACCCGAATTATTTTCAATAATGTACAGTTCTTGCTAGTGTCATGCCAAACAGAAGCTGAACAGCAGCTTGTTGAAGAAAAAGCAGGAGCAGCAATTGCAGACCCAACATTAATCTGATAGTTGTCTACAGGTGTAAAATTTGTACCAGAAAACACATGGACACCACCCCGAAGAAAAGCAATGGCAATTTCACCACCATGAGCAGAGTAAACAACTCGAGCAAGTGTCCTAACATCACTTGGAAGATCAAATGGATCAAAATTGATTGATTTATCAAAAACAGACTCAGATACCTTTTGCACATCAGTAGCCACTCCAAAAGCAGGTGCTTGATGGCTCTTGAAATCATTCGTTGGAGGTATGCTGAGGTCCACTTTGGACTGCCAAACAGTTTGCATAGGTGGTTGTCCACCCATACTAGAAGTAGGGTTTCCAAATATAGGATGGAGAACAACATGCTGTAAAGATGATTCCCAGCGTTGCACTCTCCACCCAGAAATTGATGGGCCCTCATCTGGATCATACGGGGACATGTACTGTCCTGTATAGGTAAAATCAAATATACATAAATTTCTTAGTTCATTTATCTGTGCAAGTGAAAGCTCCGGCAAAATTTCTGAATAAAATGCATCGCAGCCAGCATTCTCACAACCTAGAGGAGTCAATTTCTTAGTTCAATTATCTGTGCTTCTAATTTGGTGGATAACGTTAGCTTGCCAAAGGATGAATAGTATTAGGAGGACGGAACTTGATAATATAGCTTTATCTATTCCATTAGCAACCATTTGATATTCAATTTTTTCTTGTTAGTTGGGGATACTTGAAATTTTTTGGTATCGTAACAGATTAATTACTTTTAAAATGACAACAGATGGGGGTTTAACACAACATAAGGTTATCTAAATGGGTTTCACTTACAAATCCCAGATTCCAAGCAGACTTGCTCAAACCAGCCGTAACCTTTAAAGCGCATAAAGTGTAAAATACTTGCACTTGTGGTGGCATGGGGAGAGGTTGAACAAAGAGGGCAAGCTAGATAGACTGCATAAAACTAAATCAAGAAAGACAGCAATATTGACGAAGGGCAACTGTAAACCAAAGAATATAGGCTAGAATAGTAAGAGATTTAACATATCATCTCCATATACATTCATTTCAAGTAATGAATAGAAGAAATGAAGGAATATATGATGTTTCCTTAAGAGGGGGAGAAGGGGGGGCGGGTTGAATTGGGTCCCAAGTTCCTCAATATGGTTTTAACTTGTAATAACATGAACAGATAAACGGAATACTTCACTGATCTTAAAAGGCATGCAACAAGACTCAGTAATAAATATAGGTACACTCAAGATGGATGAAAATTACAATGTTAAAGAGTGTGGGGAGAGGTGGTCAAAATACCAGAAATAGGTAAGGAGGCAAAAGAAGAGATTGAAAAATTCACTATTAACGAAGACACCTTAGCACAGAACATTTGCAAATTTGTTTCTGGAGAAAAAAAATAGTCAGAATCAACTTCATACCCTCAACTATCACAACAGTTATCACCGAACCAGCACGGGTTGGATCAAAGGCCACTGCTGTCACGCCAGAACCCCATGTAGTGGTTGCAGCAGATTGGGCTGCAGCTTCAGGACTCACATATGCTGAAAAATTCGAGACTGGTGAACAGTATAGAGGTACAGGATCACCAAGGTTTTGGTCCGTCTGTTTTTTCCCTTGCTTTGCTTCAGATAATAGATAATCTTGCCAACTAAATAAATATGCAGCTAAAGGCGCAAAACCAGCCCAGTTGGGTGGGCTAAGAGGCAGGACACCACAAGGGGTACTTGTCTTCGGAGTTACTTGGAAACCATTTCCAGGCCCAGGTGTAACCTCCCAAACAACGATCGTGGATGGATTAACAATTGGTACACCTGCCACATGCATGGCACCACTGTCTGTTATAATAGCATCACCAGCCATAATGCCACTGGGTCCGCAACCCAAAAGTCCTTTACTTGTGCAAAACCATTTCGGTGTTGTACCATTCTGAATAGGAGGCCACTGGGACCAGTGAAGTTGAACTGAGCCTGATGAGAACACAGAACAGACACAAAGAAAATTGGGCCATCTAGCTGAAATCAAAACAACTGCATCCATCAGATACACAAGCATAGTACTATTTAATGCATATAGCTGACTAAAATTTGAAAATAAAATGAATGAACAACAAATACACAATCAAATAGATGAAATTTCATGTGTCATCATGCCATTGACCATCACCCTATCATAATTAAAAAAATAAAAAACAATTCAATGTGGAACAAAAAATAATTGGCAACTGCCTAAGGCTTGGGTGTGATGTTGTCAGAACTTAGACTATCCATCAAGGCAACTATAGCCCTCCCCTACCCAGGTTCTTGCGCCTCTGAAGTATCAAAAAAGGGGGCAATTAGAAAAGAATGTAAACAGAATAATTGACCTGAAGTTTGAGATTGCTGTGAAAGAAACTTTTCCTCAAATGTTGACTTTGAATTGGCAGAAGCACTCGATTTGGATGAAAGCCACCTATACTATTTTTCCAAAAAGAAATTGATTCAGATTAAAAAAGAACTAATAAATAATAGTTGTGAGTGCTCAATTTTAATCACGTGGGATTAGAATCTTCCTATTTTTTAAAGAATGACATCCAAAGATATTATCACCTTGTGCTGGCATATATTTAAAAGATGTGCACATATCACAAGTAGACACAACTAACTACTATCAAAAGAAATTCCTTATGCAGAAGGAAATGAGACAGGATGGAAAATTTATCAAAAGAAACATCTAAAACGTTAGACATTCTTATGAAAGAATGATAAGGAAGCTCTTCAAGAGCAGCTTTATAGACCATTCATGGAATCACCTGTATAGAGGAGGAATGGAAGAATCAATTGCACATGTGAAGAAAATACCAGAAGAGAAGGAATAATGATAAGAGGAATGAAACTGTCAATGCTTTCCTTTGCTCATTAAGCTAAAAAGAAGAGCGCTGAAAATTATAGATGGAATAGACTTTGTTCCAAGTTCTAACGGTCTCTCAAATAATCTTTGCAGAAAATGGATCCATATTACAATTTGAAACAATGGACCTATCTTATTGAAGAATGATAAGATGCTTTGCTCAGAGGTTCAACCACTGAAAGACTATGGTTGAAAATTACCAAACCAGGAGAGAGAGAGAGAGAGAGAGAGAGAGAGAGAGAGTACATAACCACATAAGTACAAAGGCAAAGATTAAAAAAAAAAAAAAAAAGTCCCGATTAAATCCCGACTAGCAAGGGTGGGATGAGGGCAATCCTTGTACGCAGCCTTACCCTTGCATAATTGCAAAGAGGCCAACCTCTGTACAAAGGCAAAGATAGACAAATAAAAATGTTTACAAGACTTTATCGAAAGAAATGTACAGAAAATTAGAGTATGACATCAGAATAAGACTAGTTAACTGCATACCGGAGACACCCCTGACAGCCACTTTGTAACAACTGCAATATCTTGCCGCCACTCATGCTCACGCTGCCAACAGCTAGTATCACGGACAAGATTAGGTGGCCCCTGAATGGACATCCTATCAGAGGAACATATAACACTTGCAAATGTGTGCAATATCCATGAAGAGCTAAGCTAATAGCAATATACTCATGTTGCTAGCAAATAGCAAACTTAGCAATTAAATCTACTACCAGAGATAAAAAACTTGCAATTATACTAAACTAAAAAGATATGCCAGAATATGCAATAGTAGCATCCACATAAGTAACCCTAGAAATGAGATTAATAACTCAAACTTACTTGAGAAGGTTGAGTCCAAATAGTTACCCTCCCATGGAAATTCGCAATCAGTAATGCACGGGGACAAGAAGTAGGGGACCATTCGATAAACTGCACAGAATCACGCGGAGAATCTGCAAAAGATATAAATACAAATAAATAATTTCCAAATGAGAAAAAAATAAAAAATAGTTCAGATGGGAAAATAAAAGCTCACAATGAAAAAAAGAGATGAGAAAGAACATCCAAATGTTACTCAAATGATGGGCAGTCACTCAGCTAATGTCAAAGAAAACATTACCTCTTTGAGGGAAAAGAAAAATTTACAGATGAGCCAACTGCAATTTTTTTCTAGCCATGCTATATACAGGTTCTCAAATTCCATTTTAGGGATTCTAGAATGTATCATTTATATTAAATTAGCTTATTTTCATTTTATCAATATTCCTGCTGATATCGTCAAAAACATTGAGTGTAAACTTGTGGTAAGCGGGTGAGCCTTGGCACAAGGTAATGTTATGGTTATCGTGACTTGGTGGTCACAAGTTCATGAAACTAACTCTCTGCTCAGTGGTAGAGCAGCATACATCTGGCCCTCTTCAAACCTCAGTATAATGGGAGCCTTGTGCACTTTGCTGCTATTTTTATTTTATGTAAATCGGTTATAATAATAATAATAATAATAAATAATGAGAATGATGTATGTAACCTTAACTTTATGTATTTATTGGTTGCCCTCTAACGATTTACAATGCTTAAAAATAATAATGAGAATCATAATGATACATTTGCATATATTTCCATCACAAAGTTCTTTAAGACTTGTCTGTTAATCAGTTATACTTTGTTAGAATATTAGATATAATATGATTAGATTTGATTAGATATGATTGGATTCTGTCTTATCCGTAAATAGTCTGACTGTATTCTGACTGTATTAGGATTAGGTTTGGATTAGGTTTGGGCCTTACACTTAAGCCCATTAGGGTCTCTATATATTGTAACTCCCTGACACAGATCAACACACAACATATTCTTTTACATTTAACTTGGTATCAGAGCTATTTCGTTCTGGGAACCCTCGCTTCCGCTTAGAAATCTTGTTCTTCGCTTTAAAACCTAAGCCCACTGCTTAGGAGTCATCTTTTCTTTGCCGTGCGTCCTTCCGGTAAGATATCAAAGGCTGTAAGTCCTCTCCAGGCATCTTCTGCACGTGTCCACAGTCACCGGAGCACCAACAGCCACCGTCAGCCACCGTCAGCCACCGTCAGCCACTGTTCAGGCTGCCGGAGTACTTTTCCGGCGAGTTTTCAGTCTGGAACGAACGCGAACAGAACCCTCTCCTCCCGGCGACCTGCTCTGTGGAAGTCCGGCCACCATCGGAGTTGTCACGCGCCTCCAGTCTTCTCTGCGCGTGGGCTTCACGCGCCACCTTCTGCCGGCGCGTGAGCACTATTCCGGCGGCTTTTTCCGGCCGGTCTTGGACAGAGAAGCTCGTCTTCTCCTCCTCTTTCTGGATCTGTGGTTGGTTCTTTGTGGGTCTGACTTTTTGTGCGCACCTCTTCTTGATTGGTGATCAGGTTCGTTTCTCTTTTTTTTTCGGTTTGTATCTTTGTGATTTGATATGGCAGCAAACCCTCCAATTCATTCGGAGGTCAAGTCTTCATCTCCTCCTTTGAGAAATTCTCCCAATATCATCTCTACCAATATTGGGTCCATTACCTCTTCAAAATTGAAGGGATCTGTTAATTACAAGAACTGGGCCACCTCTGTTCGAGTTTGGTTCTTTGGACAAGGATATGGGAACCATCTCACAACTAAGTCTACTGATGTCCCTAAGGAGGACAAGTCTGATTGGGAAAAGATTGACAACCAACTTCTGAGTATCCTCTGGCAATCCATTGATCCGATTGTCTTGGATATCTTTTATTCATTTCAAACTTGCACTGAAGTGTGGGAGGAAGCAAAAAACCTCTACACTAATGATGTTCAGCAGCTCTATTTCATCATCTCTCAGTTTATGGAATTGAGCAAATCATCCGACATTCAAATGGAGACATATATTGGCAAGAGTCGTTCTTTGATGCAGGCATATTTGGATATGCTGCCTTACCCTACTGATGCTACTGCATATCGGAAACAGGTGGAACGTCTCTTTATGGTTGCCACACTTTCTGGCCTTCCCGAAGAATATGATAATGTTCGTGATACTATCTTGACTAGTGGGGAGCCTGATCTATCCATGACGTATCAGCGTCTTCTGAATTTGAATAAGAAATCTGCTCCTGCATCGTCTTCTGCTGTTGATTCTACTGCTCTAGTTTCCCGTACTGATTTTCGCGGGCATATTGGAGGCGGACGTGGTCGTGGTAGAGGCCCAGGAGGCCGTGGCCCAGGAGGACGTAGCCCAGGAGGCCGTGGCCCAGGAGGCCCAGGAGGTCCAGTCGGACGTGGTCAGCGACCTCGTTGTCATTACTGTCAGCAACTTGGTCATTATGAGGAACGCTGCTACACCAAGTATCCTCACATGCGACCTTCTTTTGCTGCTAATGTAGCTCAATCGGATACTGCTTCAAATGGTTCAGTCTCTCTCTCCTCTGAAGAATATGCAGCATTCCAGGCCCTTCTCAGGAAGTCCTCTCCTCAATCTCAGGCCTCTGCTTCAGAAACTGGTAATCCTGTTGCTTGTGTTTCTCATTCTGCATCACTTGGTCCTTGGATATTTGACTCAGGTGCTACTGATCCCCTCTGTGGTAATAAGGAACTCTTTTCTTCCCTTACATATTCTAATAATTTACCCTCTTTTACTCTTGCTGATGGAACTGAGGCCCCCGTTCATGGGATTGGACAAATCTGTCCAACCTCCTCATTGACCTTGACATCTGTCTATTACATTCCTCACATCCCTTATAATTTAATATCGGTTAGTAAATTGATCAATTCTCTTAATTGTATTGTCACATTCTCAAACCATTCTGTTTCTGTGCAGGACCCGGGTACGGGGAAGATGATTGGAGTGGGCCGTGAGTCACGGGGTCTGTTCTACCTTGATGTGCCGAGTCCTTCAGTTGCTTGTTCTCTCACAGAATCTCCACAACTCATCCACAGTCGTCTCGGGCATCCTAGTCTTGCGAAATTGCAGAAGATGGTTCCTCTTTTATCCGGTCTTCAAACTTTAGATTGTCAGTCATGTCAGCAAGGAAAGCACATACGCTCCTCCTTTGCTAATCGAGTCAATAAACGAGCTGATGCTCCTTTTTCCATTATTCATTCAGATGTTTGGGGTCCTAGTCGTAGTGTGTCTATTTTAGGTTTTCGGTATTTTGTCACCTTTATTGATGATTTCTCCCATTGTACTTGGATTTATTTAATGAAAAACCGCTCTGAGTTGTTTTCTATTTATCAAAAGTTTTCTGCTGAAATTCATACTCAATTTGGTGCTTCTATTCGTATTTTACGTAGTGATAATGCTAAGGAGTATGTTTCTGTTGACTTTTCTCACTTCTTAGCCACACAGGGTACTTTACACCAAACCACTTGTCCTCACACTCCACAACAAAATGGAGTAGCTGAACGTAAGAATAGACATCTCATTGAGATTGCCAGAACTCTTCTTATTCACATGCATGTTCCTCTTCACTTCTGGGCTGATGCAGTCCTTGCTTCTTGCTTTCTCATCAACCGCATGCCTTCATCTGTGCTTAATAATGATATTCCTCATAACTTATTGTTTCCAGATGTTCCTCTCTTTCCTCTATCCCCACATGTTTTTGGTTGTACCTGTTTTGTTCATGATCTCACTCCTGGTAAGGATAAGTTAACATCCAAAGCCTTTAAATGCATTTTTCTTGGTTATTCTCGTCTTCCAAAGGGTTATCGCTGTTACTCTCCTGACCTCAAGCGTTACTTAGTTTCCGCGGATGTCACCTTTTTTGATCAACAACCCTTTAATTCTATCCCATCTCCATTGTCACAGGTTGATCATGTTCTTCCTGTTCCTTTTCTTGACTTGTCTTTGCCAGATGCAGGTGCTTCTACTCCAGATAAGCCATCACCTATTGCTCCAGTACCTAAGGACCGTCCACTTCTCACTTATCAGCGTCGTAAGACAGTACCTCCAGTCGACTCGACCCCTGCTGACTCATTGCCCTCTGCAGTTGATTCTTCCCCTCCGGATCCTTCACCAGAGGCTCTTCCCATTGCTCAAAGAAAAGGTACACGTACTACTCGTAACCCTTATCCTCTTTATACCTTCTTGAGCTATGATCGTCTTTCTGCTCCTCATTTCACCTTTGTTTCTAGTCTTTCTTCTGTTTCTATTCCTAAGACCACAGGTGAAGCACTTTCCCATCCAGGATGGCGCCAAGCGATGCTTGATGAGATGACCGCACTTCATACCAATGGCACTTGGGACCTTGTTTCTGCTCCTCCAAAGAAGTCTATAGTTGGTTGTCGCTGGGTGTTTACTGTGAAAGTTGGACCTGATGGCCATGTTGATCGTCTCAAGGCACGCCTAGTTGCCAAGGGTTTTACTCAAATCTTTGGCCTTGATTATAGCGATACATTCTCTCCCGTCGCTAAGATGGCGTCCGTCCGCCTATTTCTTGCCCTTGCTGCTGTTCGTCACTGGCCACTCCTTCAACTTGACATCAAAAATGCCTTTCTTCATGGTGATTTACAAGAAGAAGTTTACATGGAGCAACCACCTGGTTTTGTTGCTCAGGGGGAGTCTGGGAAGGTATGTCGTCTTCGAAAATCCTTATATGGTCTCAAGCAGTCTCCTCGAGCATGGTTCAGTCGCTTCAGTTCTGTTGTACAGGCGTTTGGCCTAATTCGCAGTAAAGTTGACCATTCTGTATTCTATAGGATTACATCTCCTAACAAGTGCATCTATTTGTTAGTCTATGTTGATGACATCATCCTCACCGGAAGTGATCAAGACGGAATCCATCAGTTAAAACAACATTTATTCAGCGCATTTCAAACAAAGGACCTTGGGAAGCTGCGTTACTTCTTGGGAATTGAGGTGGCGCAATCTAGACAGGGCATTTCTATCTGTCAAAGGAAGTATGCCTTGGATATCCTAGAGGAAACTGGTATGTTGGGGTGTAAACCAGTTGATACACCCATGAAT